GTGGCAGAATTATGCATGAGCTGTAGTTGGAAAGCAGATCCCTAAGGATCCTTCATAATCACAGCAGACAATCCATGAATAAACCTGTTAACTAGTTGGTGGGTTTTTATGTTCCGCAAACTTAGAGTGATTCAGAAACACTTATGCGGGCAAAGCTTTCTCAAGGTGTAGCTTGTGCGAATAGCCTGCTCTTTGGCATCTCCAGAGCCACAATGATACAATACTAAAGAAGAATACTGTTGGCAAACACTCATTAAGCTCATGTGGATTAGCCTGCACAGGGCTCGCAGTTGATTTACCCATTGGGGCCTCCTGTTAAAGTCTACTGTTACACAGTGTAGCCTTTCCCATGCACCCATTTGGGATTCCTTGTGGGTTAGTCCATGTGTGACTTATTATGTTTAAAGCTTTGGTGCTTCCATTAGTTTTTCATTTACAATTATTTATTAATTCATTCATATGTTCATTCATATATTAATTTTCCTTTGGCTTAGTTTCTATTTCAGGGGTTGCAAACTATTCCAGGATACTTTATGTTTTACGCAGCGGATGTCTTTCCAGCTGCAACCCAGGGATACACTCATATCACACACACTCATTCATACACTACGGCCAATTTAGTTTATTCAATTTCCCTGTACCGCATGTCTTTGGTCTGTGGGGGAAACCCATGCAAACACAAGAACAACATGCAAACTCCACACAGAAATGCCAACTGGTCCAGCCGAGACTCAAACCAGTGATCTTCTTGCTGTGAGGCGACAGTGCTAACCACTGAGCCCCTTATGACTGGTCATTCACCAATTTTCAAAAACAAGTGGACCAATTCTTGAGCAAACATTTAAGTTTCTTTATCTGGAAATTATAATAAAATCGCTTATGTTATGTCTACATGATTGCACTTAATTTTTGTAGTGCCGATGAGGAAAACGGCTTACAAATCAAATTCAGAAAGCTTCCAAATGTGTTGATGTCATAAAAGAACCATTCTGGGTCTCAAAAAAGCCTTTTCAGGCAACAGTTTTTAAAAAAAACTTTTTTTTTTGTCTTAGTGTGAAAAATAAATTTAATGTAAACTACAGAACCATTTTCTATCTTTTGTGAATTGAAAAGGTGGACCAGATGATAAAAGGCTCTTCAGAGGACAAATAAGGTATCTTTATTTTTAAGAGTGTACGTTTTGTTATTTTTAACATAACATAAAAATGTTGTCCGCTATGTTCTGTGAGATTGTGTTTAGGAGTAGGTGACATGGGAAAACACAGCTAATTTACATCTTTGGGAATGTTTGGTCAATTTGTATGAGTCTAATTCATATGAAAATGTACAGTTAAAAAAATAATAATATGAAGGCCCACTTTTAAAGTCACAGAATGTACAAATGCTTACAAAATAGCCCATATAAATCAACAAGACCTAAAATAGTTTTAGACTGGCATGAGAGATTGTGTTGAATATGATTTGTAGTTGGTGTCTTTTGAAAATTTCCATAAAACATGGAAACACAAGGTGTGTCAAAATTTGTGTTTCCTATTTATTAATTTTCCTTCGGCTTAGTTCCTTTATTCATTAGGGGTCGCCACAGCGAAATGAACCGTCAACTTATCTAGCATATGTTTTACACAGTGGATTCCCTTCCAGCTGCAACTCAGTACTGAGAAACATCCATACACACTCATCCACACACATACACTTAGGCCAATTTAGATTATTCAATTCACCAATACCAAATGTCTTTGGACTGGAAAACCAGAGCACCTGTGTGAACATATAACTCTACACAGAGATGTCAGCTGGTCCAGCCGGCATTTGAAACAGTGACCTTTTTGCTGTGAGGCGATTGTACTACCCACAGTGCCACCATGCTGCCTCTTTCTAGTTATGGTTTTATTTTAAAAAAATCAATTCTAACTGTTTGAGAAATTGCTTTCGAAACATTGTGCTGTTGTATTGCCGGAATATAAAGTCTTATAATCATAATCGCGTGTAAATGAAAGAATGCGCTTAATTACAAATCAGTAATTGATCTCAGAAACTCTCATACAGATTTAGGGAACACTGTGTCAAAGGTGAAAGTAGAGTTGTGATTCAGTAAAAGAATGACCTAAATTTTCGCATGTTCTAATGGGCCTCTATTAAAGCTTGAAACACAATTTAGGTCTTTTCCAAATGTTTGCACGTTTTCATGGTGGTTCTTGTGTTATAATCTGGGACAACAGATAAGGGATCAGTCTTTACTGGATGTGAGTGAATGGATAATTCTCAACATGTTATCCTTCTGTTAGCAGTGTGTCACCGAGAGCAGGAAGATGTCATTTAGCCTGTAAGTGCACGACTGACTTGACTGTGCCAACATAAAGTCTCCTCTTGTTTGACACACAGTGAACTAAAATAGCAATGGAGGAAGTGAAGAAGTTTTGTATTATGTATTGCATTTTTATTGATCAAAAACAAAAATGGATTGTAATTTTACATAAAACAAATAATAATCACAAAATAAATCTGGCATATTTTTACATTTTAAAATATTGCTACACTTTATTAATCAAATGAAGGCATAAGTGATATATTATGGTAAGAAGTTGAGATATTTTTATATTCCAGAATTATTGGAATTAATGCATATTTCTAGCAAATTTTCCCATGCATTAAAATACATGTTTGTTTTGTTTGGACTAATGTTACTAATGCAGTTTTTATTAAAAAGTAACAGTCCTTTTTCATTCTTATTTTAGTTTGTACTTCGGTTTTTAAATTGAAAATATTCAAGTTTTAAAGTAGAGTGTTGCAGTTGGATTAGGTTTTCATTTACACACTCTGAGGAAGCAATATAATGTAATGTGTATTTATATAGCGCATTTATCATGTATGACCATAAACCCAAAGCACCTAATCATGCCACACCACCACCAGTGTGCAGCATCAACTTGGATGATGTGATGGGAGCCACAGTACAACAGAGCCAGTGTGCTCACCACACACCAGCTATTGGTGGAGTGGAGAGAGCGTGACAGAGCCAATTTAGTGGATGGGGATGATTAGGAGACCATGATGAGTATGGTCAGACAGAATCTGCGGACATTTTTTCTATTTATTTATCAGAATTAGTAAAAAATCTGTGGATTTATGCGAAATGATTTTAGGAGAACTAAAAACTAAAAATATGAAATAAAAAGTAATAAATTTTTTACTTTTATTTATTGTTTACAATGCAAATCCAATTAGATTGACCCATTTTGTAACCAAAGCAATCATATCTCTCATATAATGTATCTACTAAAAGACAGAAAATATTACTTTACAATCTGTATTGTAAATAAATTATATGAACATTTTAATATTACTATAATTATATCAAAATCATATTAGTAAAATGAATTTAAAAACTGAACAAATATGAATTCACACACATTTTCAAAAGTAAATTCATAGACTTAATGATGGGCTAAAAATCTGCAGAAATCTGTGCGTGCAGAATCCATGTGGGTCTAATGATTGGTAAGGGCCAGTTCTGGGAATTTGGTCAGTTACACCCCTGAGTGTACTGGGGTTAAACCCCTTCTTTTTACAAGAAGTGCAGTGGGTCTGTTTAACGTCTCATCCAAGAGACGGCACTCACTGTCAGTATGCTGTCCACCACTGTCTACTGACAGTCAACAGGCTAAATAGGCTGAAAATCTCAACCATTTCTGCCACATATTCTCCCACAATAGTGTTTAGACTAAAACAAAAGAAATTAACAGACATCAATTATAAAACAATAACAAAAAGTAATATAAACTCCTCATTATGCATAAATAACAAAATGAAGACAGAAAGATCAACTGTAAACCTATAAAGTACAGTGCTCAGCATGTAAAAGTACACCCATCTTTTAATTTATATTTCATTGCTTGTTCAAGCTATACAATATTATATGTGTGCATCTATATTAGATTAGTCAGTACTGAAACCAAATCTTGAGCTTATCTAAAAAAAATAACTTACGATAACGGTCCAAAAACGAGTAGACACAAATTTATATGTTATAGAAAAATATTTAATACAATTTTGAAAAAAGAGGAAAAATCAAGAGAAGCAAAAAATATATATAATTTAGTTGATATTTTGCTTGAATTTAATTGTGTTATCTTTTAATTTCTATTGAAGTTTGGCAGCTACATTATTATTTTAATAAATATATCTGTTTAATAAATCTGTTTTGTTTAAATGCACCAAAATACATTGCCTATATTCATGGAGAAATGGATAAAAATATTCATTTTCAATTTGGGGTGTACTCAATTATGCTGAGCGCTGTATATGCAGTCAATTTGATTGGGAACTGTACTTGTGGTAATTATCTGAAATGACATTATCAACTTTTGTACTGGGTGTCACGGTGGTGCATTGGGTAACACGATCGCCTCACAGCAAGAAGGTTGCTGGTTCGGGCCACAGCTGGGTCAGTTGGCATTCCTGTCTGGAATTAGCATGTTCTCCCTGCGTTCACGTGGGTTTCCTCCAGGTGCTCCAGTTTCCCCCTCAAGTCCAAAGACGTGGTATAGGCGAATTGAATAAACTAAATTGGCTGTAGTGTATGTTTGTAAACAATATCTGTGAATGCAAGAGTGCATGGGTGTTTCCTAGTGCTGGGTTAGGGCTGGAAGAGCATACGCTGCGTAAAACATATGCTGGAAAAGTTGGCGGTTCATTCCGCTGTGGCGGCCCCTGATTAATAAAAGGACTAAGCTGAAAAGGAAATGAATGAATGAATTAACTTTTGTACTTTTACTTATTCACTTAAAAAAATACTATTAACTCAAACCTAAATCTGTGCAACTTAACAAAGAGTTTTGTAAGTTCAATCAAACTAAACTAAAACTAAACAGAATTAAAACAAATAAGAAAAAAAACACTTTAATGAGAAACAAATGTCACTGGCCTCTTGTGCAGTTGAAGTGGGCTTGTCTTCTATCTCAAGATTCATTCTCTCTGCATTGCTGTTTATTTTTACACAGAGAGAATCAAGGTCTTTACTCTGCCTCTTGAAAGAAAGGAGCTAACCTGTCGCCTAGCAACACCTCCCACTCCTGCTGAAGCCAGAGGAAGACTGAAGCCGTCTATGAAACTGATGAGAGACATGGAGGTAAGGAGTCGGGAATGGGCTTGACTTTCAAGAGAGGCTGATGTATCGTGCCACTGCGCCACTATATTCCCAATATCCATAACCTCCAGACAGGCCGATGAAGTTGCACCTGTCGGGGTATTTAAATAATCTCGATTTGAGCACAATGAATTATCTAATGCATTGTGTGCGGGGATTGATTCATATAAAGTATTGTGAGCGAGCAGATGTAGCACTCAGACACCCACACACTACCTCCCTTCCCCATCTCTGTCAGAGATACTTCCCCAGCCTGCAGCCTGGTGTTTTTTTATTCCAGTGCAGTGTATTTTTAGATCCAGAGCCCAGAACAGTGGGAAAACGTAGACTTTTGTTAAAGTTTTTCATATCTTGAGCCTTCAGTGTTGTTTGTGAATGCTGACTACTAATTCATGCACATTTTCATTGACAAGTGTCAGTACTTGCGCACCTGCTTTGCTCTGAGTCATTTACTTTCTTTCTTTTTTTTAAACAAACTCTTTCCACCAGGCTATTTATAGTCCGACAAAAGCCTTCTATAATTCCATAAGGCCTTTTCTCTCTCTCTCTTGCTGTTTAAGCTCGCTACTCAATTCTAGATCTACATGCCAGCACATTGTGCTCTCACCCTCCTTTCTCTCTCTTTCTCTCTCTCTCTCTCTCTCTCTCTCCCTTCGTAAGTTGTTGCTGATGCAAGGTTGCCATGGTGATGTGATGTAGATGTGTGACATCAAAACAGACCTCAAGCAGCAGATTTTTTTCCCTTTTCAGTCTGTCACTCTCTCTCTCTCTCTCTTCTGTTCTCCCATCTCATTTCAAATTAAGCCAAAGGCATTGCATTACAAAACACCTCCGTGAGCTTCTGATCTAAACCAACCTCGCAAATGTTCGAAAGATGTCCTTTTAACTGCGCATCCCACAGTTCCTCTTAAAATAATGCAGCTCTTAGTGACCATAAGAGATCCATTATTCTTCCCCATTGAGGTCCATCTTTGATAGTAGGAAGAGAATGATCAATGATTCAGTGCACTGCTGCTTTTCTCCTCAGCCATCTCTGTGAATCTCAGTGGTGTGGTCTCAATGTGTAGTGCAGCTACCTTTGAAACAATATCTGTATTGGGCAGGTTTGTTGTTTATCTACGTCATCTTTAGATTTACAGCGTTAAATGTATTCTTTTAAGTCAAAGACATTACTAAAATGTTAACCCTTTAAATACTCCACCAAGAAAAAATATTTGGATTGCGTTTCTTATCTCTTAATGATGCTAGTTTACACACTCAATGCACTTTTTTTCATATCAGCCTCTACCAAATGATTGATATGTCGGTTTATGGTTAAAGTACCGGAATTAATACATATACTATGAAAAATCTCAATTTATGAAGTGTAAGACTACAAAATATTCAAAATAAAACATTTTTGAATAATAAATCATCTTTTTTTGAAGTATGTCATAAAATATTTCAAATTCTCATTTAACATGTTTTCTTATTTAATACTTTTTTTTTTTACAATAAACCAAAATCAGGTGTAATAGTGCAACAGGATGTGATTTTTTTTTTCATTTTGTAAACCAACAATTCTGTGTAAGCCATTATTTAAAACATTCTTTAATTTACTTTAACAGTCTATATTTAAAACAGCAAAAACACAGTCATCCATTTGTTTGAGGGGACGTCAAATGGTTAAAAGAGTTTCTTGTCAATCACATAATTTATTCACTAAAATAGTTGCATGTTTATTTGTTATGCAACTTACATATTCAAATGAGAACAATGCAAATGCAAGGTCGACAAATCAATGGAAGTGAAATTGAAGTTTGATGAAGCTTTGCATAACTATTAGAAGAGAAGAGAGTGGGCAGAGATGCTGAGAAAGAGGAGGTGCAGGGAGGGAGGGAGGAAAGAAGGTACTTCAGTGGCTTTTTTTAGCTCCAGGCTAAAGTTACGATTATTGCTTTTATCCATCCTCAATTTTCCCTTTCCTCCCTCTCTTTGGAAGCAAAAATGTTTCCCCCCAGGAACTGATATTTTCCCCATGATTACTGATCATCTCAGCAGCATGAACACTTCCGCGCAGTTGGTCGTAGAGGAGCAGAATGGCCCGTGTCATTCACCATTGCTGAATTTGAACAATAGCAAGAGTTTTTTTGGCCCATTGAATCATTGCTATGAATTTATGAATGGGGAGTCCATTACGTGACAGTTTTCCTCAACTCACGCTCTGAGTCATTTATGCCTACTTCATATAACGGCTTATTGGGGGGTCACATGATGAGGAATCATATTTTCCATCCGTTCCTTCTGTATGAAACAGTCATTTTCAGAATTCAAAACATCCGCTCCAGTTTAAAAAGATGAGCTGTTAGAGTGAGCTGTGAAAATGGTTCATTCACAATCTTTTGACAAACCAAAGAAGGTGAATATACCTAGATAAAGGTCTGTTTGCACTCCCATTCATCTCAAAGCCACTCTTTTGGCTATGTTAGATAAATCAGATAATTTTATGGGTGAGAGAGAAAAGAGTGAAAAATGGTCGTGATCAGTTAAATTAAAATATAAAATTTTATATTAAAGCTAAAACCGCCATAAACCTGAATGCACACCTTTCAAAGGGTGCACAGAGTTCATCTAGTTGGAGCTGTGTAAGCAAATTTCAATTTCGTGACCTTAAGAGTCAAATTAATGATTGAGAATAGAGGCTGTGCCCTTGTTAGCTCACCTTCTTTCCATGCCAAGGATGATGGTTCTAATTCCACTCTGAACAGTTCAGTAGAATCAGAGTTCAGTAGAATCAGAGGGGGTTTAAATGGCCATGAACTAATCCACCAACCCCCCACCCTGTCTCAGCATGGTGTTTTCACACATTTAGTTTGAAAAAAGTCAGGAAAATGGTGAGTCCAGCTTTGTTAAGGTGGGAGGAAAGGGTTTGCATGAAGAGGGGAGTTTCATTAAGTTAATTTTGAAATAATTATATTATAATTATAATAATTTTGATTAAGGTATGCATGGTTCTGCTACATTCATTTCTCTATGCCCCAAACCGAAATTCATCCTGCCATGGCTACATTACAGCTTCTCATTCAAAACATACAGTCGTTGTTTTTTTTATAGCGGGTATAATCACACCAAAACTTATTAAATAGTAAGTGAATTATAACAGCGCCATCTTTTTCTGTAATTGAAGTAGTGCTGTGCATTATTTGTTTAACCCTTTAAGGTGACATGTTGACTGACTGACTGACTGACTAACAAGACTAACAAACACAACGTAGCTTTCAGTTAGGATGAACACAGTTTCCATAATTATACTTTATAGATAAAGGTCTATGACTGCATACAATGACTTTATCTTGCTGGAGTTTAAAGCCATTTCGCTTCACTTCAGGACGCATTAATGCCGCTTTGTAGGTCTATTGGAGACATTCATAAATATTTCTAGCAAATCTAATAAATATTGGACACATACTTGTTACATAAATGCACTAAATCGCACTTCAGCAGTTTTTATTTGAGAGCATGCAAGAAAATACACTTGAGCAGCGTATAATTGAGGCGGCGTGCAAGAAGTTTTGTGCACAAAAAAAAGAAATCGGTGCACAAGCAAAGAGATTTGCATGCTCAGATTGCATAAATTTGACCTCGACTTGTAATACTACGCTCACATTATTTGCCATTTAAATAATGCTATAGGTAGTTGGTAGATCTGTGTAAAAGGCCTGCTGCCACAGCTGGAAAAAATCCTAGAGAAAAAACTAGTATATCTTAAAAACTGAAAGGGTTACTGCTGACAATAATGACTAAATTCTGAATAAACCATCTATAAACCAAATATACCATCTGATTAAACATAAACAAAGAACATTGATTACACACTTACCAAATCCGTAAAGACAGGACAGTCAACACCAACTGGAACTGCATCTTTTTTTAAAAGAAGACGAGAGGCAAATCCGGATTTCCAAATTCAAAAAGCTCTCGGGTAAAAATGTTCCTTACAAACATTTTTGTCGCTTGTTAGCAGACCACTGTAATCCACACTTGTGAGCTGTGATCTCATCACAGGGAAATGGAAATAAAACCTTCGTTGCGGCACAATTATAAACCCAACACTGACGTCCCATGTCTCCAAACAATTCTTCTTCTTTCACTTGTTTGAATTAAGGTTGGCACACCAATATGGCGTCTCTCTGAACACTAACAGGTAAAGGAAGTCTTCGAAACTATATCATGCATATTAATGAAGTTGCATCTCGTTCATAATAGAGCGCGCTGATTGGTTCAAACCAAGTTTTTTTCATGAATTAATGAAAAGATGTTTCACTTTGTCCCGGAGGCACAGACAGCCAATTTCCACGCTGGAATTTACACAATGATCTCATCACTGTGACGTAGTTTCCAAATTTCTTTTTAAACCGAAAGAACGAATTTGCTCAAAACAACGCAAAAACAACCAATTTTCACTTTTTAGTGAAATATTTGTGTCCTAATAGTCTTAAACGTGGAACATATATGTGACTGTCAACATCTCAAAAAATGTGTTTCGTGACCCTTTAAGTGTGACCCGTTAGGTGTGTTTCGTGACCCTGTAACTAGTGCTGTTACCTGAATGGGAGTTTAGGGGGGGCTGTAATGTACCCCAGCAAGTAAAAGCTCTGGGTGTAAACCTCACTCTTTATTCTTGTTAGAACAACACCAATGCAAGTCCTGCTTTTGTGATTCAGGAAGGTTGCATTGGTGCTGTGACTTAGGCCGTACTCACACTAGGTACAGTTGCCTCGAACCGGGCCAAAGCACGCTTGTCTCCCCTCCCGTCTCCCCCGACGGCCCGCACTCACACCACAATCGGGCCTGGGCACGCTTACGTCATTGATGCTGCGCTGTTCAGTGAGAAGCGCTGTCACTCAGCAGCACAGTGGAGATTTCTCTAGTTATATCGTTTCAGTCGTTTGCTGTGCAGTGACATGCAGTCAAATATTTCGCCAAACAGTCCTTAGGGATGCGGTGACACGCAGTCAGATATTTCGCCGAACAGATCCGCCACTTTTGGCGCTCATAAACAATCATAAACCCCTCGTGCTGCAGGAATGAGGAGGTCTGCTGAAGGTGCGCAGTTGTCGTGCAGTGAGGAGTTTGCGTCTTTAATAAACTATGTCAGTTTGCGTTCACTGAACAGTAAGAATGATTAATAAATCCATATGAAACAGTCCCTTAAAAGTCACGCTGCTTTCAGTTTTGGGCTTTGGCGCGTTTTGCACTCACACTACAAACATACCGCGCCAAAGCCCAAGTGAACCGCGCTCAGGCCCACCTCTTCCAACCGGTCCAGGATGTGCCAAGTGAACCGTGCTTGAGCCAGATTCAGCGCACTCACACTTCTCAAACGATCCGGGAAACGGGCCTGGGCACGGTACGGATGGCATGGTGTGAGTAGGCCTTTAGATGTGGATGTTGTAACAGGCTTCATGTGGCACACCAGGAACTGATGGCTGCTAGAGGCTGTCGTTTTTGCTATCCTTGTTTAACCAACCAACTGAAAACACTGGGTCAAATCTAACTCAAAACAAGGCAGTTATTAATATCCACCTTTAAAGTAGGAACATGCATGCTTTTGGTGGCTAGATAACATATGTATGCGTCCCTTTGTGATTATTCCCCAG